TAGGTAATTTTCACACATTCGGATCCAAATTTGAAGAAAATGACAGTTGGCAGGCTAAAATGAAAGAACTGGCATATCGCGAAAATTCAAGAGATCTGCAATCCAAAAAAATAATTATTTTAATTAACTTTTATTTATTTATTTATTATATAACAAGTTACCCAAAAATTAACTAGGAACTAAATTTTTTTTTTGTTTAAACTATGAAATTGCTAAATTTTTTTTTGGTATAATATAAAATGTAATCTTTCTCTTCATTCTACCATTTTTCTCACTACATAGTAATTAACATATAAGTACTTAAAAGCCTAAATCTTTCATCTTTTAATCTCTATCGTTTCCCTTTAGCCTCTAATCTATCTTTTTCTTCGTTCAATCTTTTTTTCTCACTAAATCTTACTAAATTTGAATTAATATTTTCTACATTTAAGTATCTTAAACACCTAATTCAACATTTTCTTTCTAACCTCTCCATCTCATCCTTTAGCATTTAATATAAATTTTATAATCTTTAGCAACTTAAAAACTAAAACCTTTTTGAGAAAGACCTATAGAGCAACTAATCAATTTATTAGTATAGAATATAATATAGGTGTAGCTAATTTAGCCAATTCCCCCATACTATATCCATGGCAACGGGTTTAAATATATCTACTTTTAATTATAGATCAAAAATAATAATTTTTAATAAATATTGTAAAATGTATTGAACCAAAAGATATTTATGATAGTGGTCAAATTTTATCAACATTAATAATCTTAAAAACCAAAATCTTTCTACCTTCTCATTCCTTTCATCTTCTCCCCTTAATATAAATTTTATATCAACATTAAATATCTTAAAAACAGAGACCTTTTTTCCTCCTAGCCTCATCTTCTCATTTTGCCCTCCAAAATTAAAAGACAATTTTCATTTTGTCAAATTTCCAATTAAATACTTTTATAGTACATTAGTTATGAAAATAAGGCCAAATAATTTTGTAATTTCAATATTACATTAGTTAAAAATTTAAATATAAAAAGATAGAAGATATAATTAATATACAGATGTAATTAAAGCAATGCTAAGACAAATCAACTTTATTTTGTGTTTAATTGATTTATTTATTGCATACCTCGGGAAGATTTTTTTTTTGTACGTTGCAGGATGAAGTTGCTCAATGGGAAGACAATTATTCAGTTTCGGTGCTCTTTTTATCTTGTCATGGGCCTTTGTTCCAGGGACCCTATCACTTCCTTGGCATGAAAAGGTTTACTACTTAACCATTTTCCTAACCCTGCCCCATTCAATAAGAATTTGAGAATTTAAATTAAAGCTAAAATTAGTGTATGATATCATTTTTTTGAAATAATTATTTTAGATAATATGTAATTAAAATTTTAAATAAATTGATAAATTTTTTTCAAGAAATGACAATTATTATTATTTTTTTAAATTTACAATCAA